AGGTAGCTTTACCCATAATAACCTAGAGAATCTGACAAATTTTGAAGTTATTAGCGACTTTGAAAATAATGAAAACTATAGAAACAAAAATATGAATAAAACACCTGAAAAGAAAAAAGAAACTCCTGGAAAAACGTTGGACATTATTTGTCCAGTTCCTAGTACTTCTAAAGTGGATGTGGTACGCAAACGCAGTCGTCAGCTTGCTGAAATATTAACATCGCCAGAAAACATTCTTAAAAGAAAAACACTAACAGAAAGCCAAACTAAATCTTGCCAGAAAAGAAAGGAGGATACAAAAACACAGTTAAAAAAAACATCTAAGAAAACTCAACAAGAAAAAATAGAAAATTGTAGCTCTTCTTCTGATAGTGACGAACCTCTAGAAAAAGTAAGACATAAACTGTTTTTGCAAAATAAAAAAAGATATTTGGAAAATGATAACACTACTACAAAAAAGCAACGCAGCAATAAAGGGAAGACAAACCAATTCAGAGATTACAATCATTCTTCTTCAGATAGCGACATATCTATTGACTTACAAAGCGATTCAAACAGCAATATTCATGACAACGATGACGAAACTGAGTGCGTTGGCTGTGGAGAGGCCTACATAAACACTACAAGTCGAGAAGAGTGGTTGCAGTGCGTATCTTGCCACAAATGGCTTCATGAAAGTTGCACGAAGTTTTCAAACTACTGCTTGAGGTGTGGCCGACGAGAAAATAGTAAAGTTTAGTTGTTCTTTGTTAAATAAAAACGAGTTTTAAAGTTTTCGTTAAAGTTTTGATATGCACCATCTCACCCCCTTAGGGATGGGTGAGATGGTTTTTTCTGTTACTTAGAAATGTTTATTTTTTGCACATTAAAATAAAATAAATTTTTGTATTTTGGTATTTTGACTTTTATTTTATTCAGTATTAATATCTAGAAAGGTAAAACCCATTAAAAAATAAAATCCTAATTTTTTATAGATATTTAAAAAACTGTGCGCCATCTCTACCGGTTGTACCCTATTACTCAAAAATGAACGATATATTAGTTTACGTTTTAATAAATATTTTGTACCGTCTAGGTACAAGCTAATTTCTGATGCTACGCCCGAGCGGTGTCTCGCTCGGGTAAAAAATGTACACGTACTGCCAAAATATCCTTCCACTGCTAAGCGACTGCCAATGACTATGAAGAAGACTGCCTATGACTGCCATGTATTTATTATAGGCGACTGCCATAAGACTGCCAATGACTGCCAGCGACAGCCAAGAAAATGTACAGGTAATTCCGATAGTGAGACACCCCTCGGCTACGCCATTGGAGAATTTCGCCTGGTGACAATAGAAAATCGTAGGGGAATACAAAAATGCAGAACGGGCAAGGCGCCATCTAGAAGACAGGATTTTACTAAGCCCTCATTGTATATCTATTTATACATAATCAAGGGTATTACCCTTGTCTATATATAATATAGTCTGACAATGAGGGGTATTGTGAGCTGCTGCCACCATGCGGCCTTTTTTTGAACCTTAAACATGAATGAAAATCGCCAAGAATTTTACCCCTCAATTAAAATGGTGGGAGATGGGCGGATCTAGGTTTAATAGTATATTTCTGTATATTTTCAACGGGGATGTCCTTGATCGTCATTTCCAAACCAACTGGACGCGTTCTCGGTCATACGGTAGTATGCTTCAGGGTGCATCCACATTATCCTATAAAAAGCGGATCGGCTTAACGACCTTGAATCGATTTCCAGCAATTCTATTGGCTGAAAAATTCATCTGTCAGAAATTTTATCTGTCAAATTCATCTGTCAAAAATTTCAGCCAATAGAATTAAATTAATAGAAATAGAATTACTGCAAATATATTCAAGGATAGTTTCTAGGATAGTATGGATGCACCCTCAAATATTTGGATATGGTAGAAATAAATCCAACAAGAAGTTGTTAGCCCATTTCTGATATTGTAAAACGATATATCAAAAGAGTCGTTTCTACTCTTTTGTATTAATTGGTAGTGATGGGAAAAATCGATTAATTTCAATAATCGAGTACTCATCGAGTTTCAAGCGATTGCAATAACCGAGTGATCGCTCGAGCGAAATATCATTCGTATTTAAAAATTCGGTTTTTCACCCGTCTCTTGTAAGTACTCTTTAACGCCAAGCGCCAAGCAGTAAGTTGCGGGCGCAGGGCACATATTCTTTCTGTAATGAATGGAAAGTAGCAAGCGGCGAGTGATTCGCTTGATTTAGTTTATTTCAAAGCATTGTCGATGTAGGTCGTAAAAGTTTGTCCCTGAGATACGCAACGGATAAATATATATACGGCGTTGTATAAATTTACTACCTGCGGTAATGTATGTAGAAAATTCGTTCGGCTTTTTATCGAGTATGTCACATTAAAATCGGATTTCAATTTATTTCATTCTAGGATCGCTTGCGTTCGTTGCTTGGTACTCGTCACTTGCATCGTACGTTCATAATCGAGCGTATTTGGGTATTTTTTTCTTTTTGTTTTTCTTCTAATAATTATTGTAGTAGTTCTTTTAAATATTGTGATAGATACATTATAATCTTCCTTCTACTTTTCTGGTAGTTGAATATACGAAAAAAAATCGGATCAAATTTATTTTAAATGAAATTAATCTAGTCTTATTAATTAATCAAATTAAACTAATCAAATAATATTAATTGCTATCAATTATTAAAAAATATTAATTATTTTGGAAAATAACTTTTGAAATGGAGTATTATTAATAAAATTTAGCCAATTTTTTTTACCCAGTAGCGTATTTCAATATGATCTTATCATTTATCACTGTATAATAACTTTGTTGTGGCAGAAAAATATACCAGTTAGTTTCAAAATATTATTTTTTTTCAAACGTCACAAAAGTATTAATTTTAGCGACGTGATTGACAATATAAAAAAGTCATTTTAACGCCTAGGCATAAAAGTAAAGCACTTTTACGCCTAAGCATAACAGTATGAAAATATATTATTAAAATGACATATTATGATGACATAAGTCTCAAATTCAACGAGCCGTAACCATAGTTTCTCGATATATAATTACTCATGGTACAAAGAAAACTTGAAAACAAGGTATGGTCGATAGCGTCTCCAATTTCGTTCAGTTTGCGCATATCGCCTGTGACGTCATATGCCATACAACAAAATATCCGTATTGTTCAATTGCCACTAATAAAAAAAGACCTAAAATAGGGAAGAATTAAATAACCCCTAAAGTTATGTAAAATCATCGAGCTGAACATTTGAAAAGTTATGACACATTATACACATTTATTATGTGCCATCTGCTTGAAAATTTGAAATTGGCGCGTGGAGCTTGCCGACCAATATTGCCGTTTATCACCTGTGACGTGGTGACCAACCTGCGCAATATCATACCTTGTTTTTTTTGTATCATGATAATTACTTACAAGGTATGAGTTTTAAATATTTTTATATTATTTGGAACGTTTGAAATTGTTTAAAACATTATTTGTGACGTTTGAAAAATAGCATGTTCTATTCGAGTAAAATGACTTTTGTGCTTCAGCTGTATGTCAAACCTACAGTCTCGCCACGAAAAGTGTCATTTTTACTCCTAATAAAACAATATACTAGAAAGTTTTATGGTTTAACGGGCTTTGTGAGTTAAAACATAATGATATTTCCAGTTTTTATAATTCTTGATCGAAAATAAACGGCGTCAGCGATGGCTATGAAATGAAGATCGCTGTCATTTTATATGTAAATTTATGTGGGAAATATCGTCGACCGTCGGAAATGTCGTCGATCGTCATTTCCCTGCCAACTGGACGCCGTTTTTTTTTCATATGGTACAAAGTTAAAGCAAACTTGAGTCTGACCATGTTTTACGCTAAGAAAGATTTATTTCGTGTAATAAAGATTTAAATGGTGTAAGTACATAATATTTATTTAAATGTCAAATAATATTATTGAAACAAGTGCCAAGTTTTATTTTTAATTAAGAAAAAAATATAAGTATATATATAATAAGTATAAACGTTTTGTTATCAAAAAAAAAATATCTTAAGAACGTAAAACCTCAATTTAGAATAAAATGATCGAAAAATGAAATAAAATTTTATAGCCCTGGGTCAAATCGAAATAAAGTAAGTGTATGTAACTTTTTTTAAATATTAATAATTACCAGTAATTAGCATTAATGTACCAACATATTGAAAATTGTTATATCTTTGTTAAATACGGTTTAGAATCCTTAAAATAACAATAAAAATAATCGAAAATCAACAATGAAATAATAGTTTTGTTTAAATTTCTTAATCAGCTGAGCCCTATTATAGTTCGCAAAAATCCGAGCTATATTATTACATTACTCTGAGGGAAATACCGCAAATAATCGATATTTTTGACTCCGCCCCTAATCACATGCTTCATTCTTTTAAAGCTTTGCGATTTGTTCGCGATTGTCGAGAGGTTGACCAACTTTAAGAATATATAAACAAGGCTAGTATTAATCAGTTTACTTCATAATAATCGTTTTCTATTTAAAATAGAAAATGGTTTATTTTTTCTATTTAAAATACAATAGAAAATACTTTTTCAAATGTATTTAAAATAGAAAATGGCGTTTTGTGTTTTATATATTTTAAATAATTTCATTTGAAATATTTACCTACCTCTGATTATTTGGTCTAATTGGGCACAGAAACCCCAAAATTTACCGATTTTTTTAATTTGCCTGTTTTGATTAGTTAAGCTAAAATTGTATGAATAAGAATAAAATATCTGCTTGGAATGAAAATCGGTGTCATTTTATATGTAAATTTATATGGCAGATATTATCGATCGTCATTTCCCAGCCAACCGGACGCCGTTTTTTCTCGATCATACGGTACTAGAACTTTCAGAGTAAAAAAAATATTTTTTTGTGTAGTAGAAGACTGAAAATTGCGTCCTGCCATCTAAATCTTAGGTTGAGATACTTTAAATAAAACAAGGATTATAATTATAAAATTATTATTATTAAAATATAAATAGGTATGTACTGTTAAAAAATCAAGAAAAGAATGTAGATATTATAAATTCTGTAAAGCTTGTTCATATTCATTTATAAGTTCATCAATGGAAGGTCTTGACTTTATGTCATGCTGTAAGCATCTCTTCATTGTATTTAAATATCGCTGAGACACTTGAGGAGCAGGAGGATAGTTTATCTTGAATTTTGGATCAATAATAGCTGCCAATTTAGACCACAATTGATTCAAATGCTGAAATGGAGTTCTACAGTAGACCAGTTGATATAATATACATCCCAACGACCACACATCAGATTTCAAATGAACCTACAATCTTATAGTATACAAAATATAATAACAATGGACTTATTTACTTGATATTTTTGCTTTCCATAATTGGGACTATTGATATTCTCATTGTTTTGGACATTTAAAGCTTCAGGACTAATATAATTGCAAGATCCCTCTTGGTTTGACTTATAAACAGAGGTCATATCTTCTTGAACTTTTGATGCAATACCAAAATCTATTAATTTTAAGCCTCTTCCAACAAATATAAAATTAGCTGGTTTCAAATCTGAGTGAATTATACCTGCAAAGCAAACATTAGAAATAGAAACAGAAACAAATATATTAATTCAATTAATCACAAAGTGATACTGTATACTACACAAAAAAAAACATGCCAAGTGGCACACTAAAATAATAATAATAAATAACCATGATACATTAATACATCAAAATAATGTATATTCTACAGAAAAGAATACATTTCAGATTAATATACACTCAGATGCAAAGAAACGCAACGGACAATTTTCCGTCAAATTTAAAGTATTATATTTTTTTTATATTTATCCCTATTTTATGTTGCCAAACCAAACCTAAGCAAACTGTATACAAATATATTTACTTTAATTTGTCTATACACTTTAGTATTTAGCTTTATAATACAGGGTTAATCACAGGGTTGTTTTTTTATCCTAATTTTAAAATACCCTGTACTACAATAATTTCCTGAATAAATTCTCATGAAACAATATTTTTTGGCCAGAACAATATTTTTTGGTTGCTTAGGTGATTATTGTTATAAAGTCATATTGGCAATTACATTTTGTATAACTACGATTACATATGGTGCCCTAGAGTTGAAGAATGTACAGGGTGGGCCAAATTTGTGCTTTTAAAGCTGTGGTGCTTTGGTGCTTTTAAAGAAAAACACCCTTTTCTATAGGAGATAGACAAAAACTAATATCGGTGTCTGGAGCTCAATTTTTATCAAAACCATTATGGTGAAAACCGCATATCGATATCTGTTACCATTTCAGAGTTACAGGGTGTTTTTCAAAAATGTGCATTTTTAACAAATCGCTGTAACTTTTTTGCTATGGAAAATTTTGTATTTCTATGAAAACATTTCCAAAGCACGTAGAATTTAATGGTTTTAGTATATTTTTGTTAAATTAATAATTTAAGAATTATCAACAGAAGATTTGGTTTTTATATGGGACAACCTGTATATTTTTCATTTATTGAAAATAATTTAAAATTACCTTTTCAAAAATATAGCAAACTTGATATTTTTGGTCGATTCCTCTTCGAGATATAGGGTTTATAAAAATTCTGCCACTTTAAAAAATAAATATAGGCTTTGAACGGCGCAAAAAAATTCTAGCTGTGAGCATCAATTAAAAAGAAAATAATATTTGCAATGAGAGATGCAGACTTTTATAACAATTTACACTATATTTAACCAACATCAACACATTTAAACTATATTTAATAACAATAAAAATAAATAGCAAACCAAGACATGAGATTTTGCTACAAGTGTTCGACATATCGACCGTCTTCTGTTATGGACAGACGGGGCCGTTTCTAAACATTTCTCGCGAAATTGATTAATTCAGTGGGGTGACAGATACCCTCTCATAACTGCTAAGTATTTCTAATTCTTGTCTAGATTATACGGGCAATTTAAAAATTAGAACCTTTATTCTTCCGCAAAGATATCCATTGGATTAGATCCATAGGCACTAAGTCCGGCGGCCTCGACGGCCAATGGCTGGGATCTTGGTTAGCTATTCAATTATTCTTGAAATTGGCTGCAAAAATTTGTTGATAAGTTCAGCGTTCTGAGGTGGTGCCTCGTCTTGCTGGAAAAATATGTTTTCGAGTTCCATTAGGGGCATCATCAATAAGGGGTCCAAAGCCTACTAGTTAAAAGTGGCGAACTTTTAAAAATTTTGTATTTCGAAGAGGATTATAACAAAATATCAAGTGTGCTTAATTTTTGGAAAGGTAATTTTAACTTCTTTTCAGTTGATCAAAAATATACAGGGTGTCCCAAATAAAAAATTAGTTTTTCTGTGGATAACTCTTAAATTATTAATTTTTAAAAAATTATACTTAAACCATTAAATTCTACGTAAAAAGGTGCTTTGGAAATGTTTTCATAGAAATACAAAATTTTCCATATCAAGCGACCTGTTAAAAAAGCACATTTTTGAAAAACACCCCGTAATTTCGAAACGGTAACAGATATCGATGTGTGGTTTTCACCATCATGTTTTTCATGAAAATTGAGCTTCAGACACCGATATTAGTTTTCGTCTATCTCCTATGGAGAAGGGCGTTTCCGTTTAAAAGCGTCCAATTTGACCCACCCTGTACAAAAGCAGTTGCTCTTGTTGAATATGGGCGAAATTATGAATATATGCCGCTAGAGTAATACGCATTCATTGCATTACGATAAAAAGAGTAGTTGAACGTTTTAGACAAACTGGACTACACTACTACTTTTAGACTACAATAATCGTAAAGCTGGTAGTCGTACGAAGCGCAAAACGACATTACGTCAATATGACATTACAATAATAGTCAACAAAGCCATCTCGCCATATTAAAAAATAATATAAAAATGTAATGATAATTTAAAAAAATGCAAAATGTTGGTGGGAAGTTCACTTCGCTCTTACAAATTTAACCTAATTATTACCTAACCTAACCTAACCAAGGGATGTGTTCTGCCGTCGGCAGTTAAAAGGCGGCAAGTGACAAAACCATAGTTTTGAAAAAAATGGCAAAAACTTTTCGATGTTGTCCTTCACTAATAAAAATATATACATTCGATTTTATTGTTCGACACTAATTGGAAATATTGTATTTAGTCATTTATAGGTATTTTTAGACAATAGAACAAGTTCTGTTTAAAAAAATGTTGGTTGGTTCTTTCTTGTTTCGTTTTCTGTCTTGAAATACAGTAAGAAGTTGAAGTTAAAAGGCGACAAGCGACAAAAAAACTGTTCAAATGCCGCCTTTTAACTACAAAACATTTGACGTGTCGCTATTTACAATCAAGTAAAATATGTTAACGCTTTAACTTAAAATGGGTAAGTTTTAAGTAACATCTTATTAAACACAGTTTATTTTTGAAATTAATAGTCATCAATAGTCATGCAAATTTTAAGTGGTTTTATGATAACAGGAATAACTATAGGTTTAACAGGGTGGTCCATAATGGATTATTCCGTATATATTCTCATGCATGTTTTGTTTACCTGCCGTCATTTATGATCTAGAGACTTTTTTCGTTGTTTTACTTAGATATATAACAAAAATGGTTAATAAAGACACATGAGAAGTGCCACCTCAAAAATCTTTGGATGCAGCGCTAGTTTGGTGTTTGCATTTTAAGCAAGAGGATACGCCGATGCCTCTCTTCTGAAGCCCAAAAACAATTTACACTTCTGCGATATACTACATCCAAATTAAAAAATAATAGCAAGGTTTTCATTTTTTTAATATATAATTTTTTTTTCTGGCTCTAAATTACGCTTAAAATAAAAAAAATAAACGGATGAATGAAAAATCTTTTCTTCAATAAATACAATAATCATTTATTTATTGCCAATTAATTCGAAATACAGTACTTCCCACAGTTTAACAAGCGGGACGCTATCGTACGCTTTTTTTTTAGATCAACGAATAGCAGATAAGGACTTCCTTATTAACAGCTGATATTTTTTTCGAGGATTTGTGTGACACAAAAGAGGTAGTCGACAGTAGATCTTCCTGCCCAAAATCCAGCTTGTTCTTCAGCTTCGTAGTCGGCAAATTCGTGTTCTATTCTGGCTTCCAGAACCTTTCTATATAGCCTGCTTATTGACTCTGTAACTGCAATTATCCTGTAGTTTCCGCATTCATATTTACAGCCTTTTTCTGTATTGGGGTAAGATACGATTCTTTCCATTCTTGTAGGTAGTTCTGCTAGGTGTTAATTTTTGGTTTGGTTCCAAACTTTATTAATTCTGCTGTATTGTTACCAAGGCCGGCCGCTTTTCTGTTTTTTAAACAATTGCATTTATATTTCACTTCTTTTATAGATATTCTGATGGGTGAGGTGGAAACTGATACGTTTGTGTTAATTCCTATGGGTTCTTTAAATTCGTCTCAGTCTTCTTGACTTGCGTCTAACCGTACCATGCAATTCTTCAACTTCAACCAACAGGTCCGATGGCGGTCGAATTCTCCCGATCATTTTCCGATGATGCCCGCCAAATTTAAATCATGGGTTATTTTCTTGTCTTTTATTATAAACTTGTAACTTTCGAGAGTAAGTTCTTAAGTAACAGTAGCATAATTTAACATAAATTTCAAAAACGTACAAATTATAATAATATATCCTAACCTATTATTGCGGACCCGTACCGTGTGAACTCGGCCTTAGGCTTGGCCACTCGGCTATGACTCATACGCCGGCGACGCCGACCTTCTAGAACGGCTAAGAATTGTTGGGACAAATCTGGATTGTCTGTTGCTCTCATATATAAGCAGACGCCTGAGGTCTGAGGAGGATAGAGATAAATAACCGGTAGACGCATACAGTTACAATCGCCGCGCTAATTCAAAATAAATTCCTGTTAGATAAATAATTAGTTAAATTGTAAATAAGTTATTAATAGTTCTTTAAGTCTTTTAATCGTTATTGTTTTTGTTAATTAGTGTTAAATAAATTGTGTTTAAATAAATTGTGACTTTCTATCCACACGGAACCGACGAAAAACGTAACACTATATAACCAACAGTTCTACAAAATCGATCGGGTATTTCGCGTGCGCTCTATAAACAAAAAAGCTTACACCAAAGGCTAACCAGCGCAATCAAAATACACCTACGGCGTATTTTGATCGCTGTTACCAATAACTCTAAAAAAATAAAAACAGCTGTAAAAAAAGCTCTGCCTCTGCCAGGGATCTGCCAGGCCTCTGCCAGCCTCTGCCATCGTCCCGTTGCTCCCGAATCGGCAGCCTCCACCACGGAGCTACACGCTGCTTTCGAAACCAGACTCTATTGAAGCCAATGACCAATGACTAAAAAATCCAAGGACAAATAACACCCGAGAGCAAATTGTTACGATGTCACCAAACAGTGCCGTGGCACATATTTTTCTTAACCTAGCTGTTTCAAGAGATATTTATATTTTTTGATAAATGTTTTGACTACGCCTATGGTGTATACGGTGGTATCATACTAATTAATTACGAAAAAAAACGTATTAAAATGTTAACAAAAGGTACAAAACTAGCATCG